TATTTTTGTTTGTAAGCTGTACATTTTTTAGATGTTCAGACAGTGAATTAAAAAAAATATATTGCCAATAGGAAAAGACATCCATAATGTGGAGTTTTCATGACCTAGATAGCTCTGTGGTGTCATTGTGTTAATCATTCCATGCCATGTTTTCATTGCTGAAGAATCAACTTATCAACATATTACAAGTTAACTAAAAGATTGTTTTAGATAATTTACAAATCTTGATGAGTAGTTTATCTCACTTCAGTTTTGGCCCTATTTCAACCTAGTCTTAAATGTTAATAATATTTAACAACTGTTTAGATTTATGGTGATATTAAAAGGGACCTTAGAAATCATCTTAGCAAATTTTCTATCTCAAATTTCCTTTAGCAGTGTTCCTACTGAGCCATTCTGGTTTAGTTTGTAAAGCAGCACTTTGCGTTGTTGAAGGGTTCCTGCTTCTAATTTTTCTTACTCTTGAGGTGAAATTCATATCTTGATGAATTTAATATGTTGCTCTCTATAAAACATACCTTCAAACATTTGAAGATTGTTAAACATGTCAGATAATTCTTAGGCTAAACATATTATATTGTCATTTTATTATATGACATGGTTTTCAGATCAGCTAATGGTAGATACCATTAATGTTCTGTATTTTTTAATTTTTTCCTCTCAATGTGACATCCTCCCTGGAATTCATGATTATATTGTGTGCTCTTTTCTTGAATTGTGAGGTTTAGGGTGTGTGTTTTTATATTGAATATTACATATATAGGCTTAAATACTGTACTAATTTATATGTAGTTAAGAACTGTTTTGCAGCTAAGATGACAGTTGTGAATGATTTTCTCTTCATGACCCAAGCTCATATATTACTAACTGAAGTTGTCATGTGTTCTTAAGGATAATTTAAATGAACACAGAGTTTGTGAAAACCTGACAGATACTAACTATAACTCGGCTAATGGGCAACATTATAATTTATTTATAGCTGTGTAATATAGTTATTAATGAACTACTGTAGGATGAGGGCAAATTCTAGTATTTTTTTGTGTGAAATTATACCACATGAGCAAAGTTGGTATTATGTAGTAATGGTAAGGACTCACAAAATGTTAACCTACTTGCAATAAATACAATTAATAATGTACATAAAAGAATGAAATTAAGTTAATTTTCTATGACAAAAAGAATTATTCATGAACAGAAAGTGGACAGCATAGATTTGATGACAGGAAGGTTGTATCTAATCTGAATTACTGAGTGACCTAGGAAGCTTGCTCAAAGGGATTACAGAATAATTATGTTAATATGCAATTATCACCTCATTTCTTCTGTAGTAACCTCAAGATGTAGTGTAGTGAGGGTGTTATAGCAAGTGCTGATAGTTTGCAAAAATACTGATGTTTGAGATTTCTGAGACAATAAGTCTAGCTTGAGGCATATAAGTGATGATCTGTCATCTTGAAGACAGATCTGACCTTTGTACTGTTTTTAATGCTCATAGTATATAACTAGAGGCAGTTATAGCTGTAGAACTCATTATGATTTTCTAGAAACTGAAATATGTTTTATGTAGATTTAAAATTCCCATTTATAGCTTTTTAAAAAGTGTGTGAATTTTTTAAAGGAACATCTTTGAATTCAGTTAAAAGAAAATTCAGTAATTATATGATTATATTGCAGAAGATTTAGTAATGATGTCTAAACATCGTTTTAAAAGATCCTAATTGATATAGCAGATTCACTGAATTCATTGAATTTAAATTTGGAGTCTAAACAACATAGTAAGACCATCTATTTTTTGTGAAAACCTAAAGACTAATGCCTATCTTCAAATATGTCTCTACTTTGTTATAGTATATAACTAGTATTGATGACTTTTAAGTATATTTGACCATATAAAAGTTGTTAAAAACTCTTTGAGACAGCATAAAATTAGTTTATTGATCAAATACTTTTTTATCTGGGTACTGTATAACCTGTGAACATAGTGAAATAAATGCTGTAATTTTACATACATTATACATTGCAAAAGAATTTGATGATCCATTGTTTTTCATTGAATCTTACTATAGCAGCCATGAGTTTTGAATACTGTCATTAAGAACAAGTACATTTGAAATATTTTATAGTTAGAATAAATTCTAAAAATTAAAGCAGGAAAATGTTTAAAATGCAAGCTTAGTCAATTTCTTAAAGCTTATTTTTGATGTCGACTTTTATTATTAGTGTACCAAGAGCACCTTGATCATTATCTAAAAAAGAGTTACTTTTATTTATGGACACCCAAGCCATGTTTCACTTATGAAGATGTGAAGAAAATCTTTCTTTCTTACAGAAAGCCTAGTTTCGTATATTTTAATTTTTTGTTAGGTATGTTTTGTAACTAAAATATCTGTTCTGCATATATTTTTCTATGTCTTTGAGCAAAACAGTTCGGTATCTTCAAAATGTGATCTTATGAAAAGCTTTTCTATAATGCCATTCTGGTAATGAGGATGCAGTCTCCAAGCCGACATGATGTTCTCATAGTTTGTCACCCTGCTGTTCAGGGGGTACCAATGAAGTTGCTTTAAATGGGAAGCGTCTGTTCCATCTCTGAACCTCTAACACCATAACAGATGGGTGGAACATAGAACATGGAAGGTTTTACCTCTGAGGTGGTAACAGTGAAGCCACTCATTAACACTGAATTTACCACTTCGTTAGCAACGCTGCTTCCTGTTGAGAAAAGCTAATATAGGCTTTCAAATTGACTGAGCATATATTTGTCTACCTCTGTGATTGTGATAAATAGGAACAGAAAGTGTTTTTCAGGCTACTTTTTTTTAACTCCCTTATTTCAGATTTATGAGATTGTTACTACTGAGGCATTTTATTTTTGCTACCTGATTTAATGAGAAATAACAGGAATGAGTAATAGTATAACATCAAGGCTTTTTGTTGACATTTGTACACTCCTTCCTAACACATGTTTATGTGCTGCCCATTTTTAACTTCTGTGTTTGTGATGTAGAGATTCCTGCTGGGTGCTGCATTAGCACCATTTTGGAGTGGTATCATTGAATATGATCTTATTGAAAGTCTATTTTTAATACTGTGGAAGTTTGCCAGATTCAAAACAGAATTTTAAAACCTATGAGGAGTGGAATAATGCTAAAGAAAGATATCTGTAATGTTTGTTTATAATTAAATATGTTGTGCAAAGAGTAAGATCATTATATAAGTACTTGTTCTAAGTTATGAGGTAAAATATAAACAATTCTTTATTCTTGAACTAGATTTAATGTTTTACAAAGCATTAAATTGGTACCATAAAGGATAGTAGAAATACTGAAATTCATTTAAAAAGTGTTTCTGATTTCTAAATACTAGATTGTAAAGTCCTACTGCTTAAAATAGCATTATTCACTTTACAAAGTAAAAAGACTAAAAGAAAAATGTGCAGGCTTATTCTTTGTCTGAGGAGCAGAATCCTGTCTTGTTTACTAGTATATGTCATAACTACAGCTGTGCCTAGCACATAGCAAGTAATCAATAAATATTTGGAGAATGATTGAACTGCACTTACTACTGTGTACAAGAGGAAAAGAAGTATAAAATTCATGCCAGTACTTTTTTTTTTTTAGTACCCGGGATTGAACTCGTGTCTTTGGCGCTTGCAGGCAGGCTACTGAACCACTGAGCTAAATCCCTGGCCCCAATGCCAGTACTTTGAATAGTTAACACATATAGTTGGCAAGCAGTAAATTATTTATAAATAGTACAGGATTTTTGGATTTGCACAGTTGCGTAGTCAAGAAATCAGAGCCACATTGGATCTAGATAGAGTGTAATAGAATGGAGTATCTAACTTTCATAGGAAGAATATTTTTCTTTTTATATTTTAGGCATTTTTTCTTTGATTTTGCAATTGTGTTTTATTCATTCAACACATACTCATTCCTTTATTTAACAAATAATGCATTTATGCCAAGGGCTGTGTTAGGTTCTAGAAATACAATGGTTACTAGGTTGTTTGTAGTCCTTGCCCTTAAAGAGCTTATATTTGTTTAGTACATTCAATTCTAGTACAGTATCCTGCTTTTAAGAGCAGGATAAGAACAGGGTGCAGGAGAACTCTTTGGAGAGAGACAGTAATTACACTTGTGTGAATGTCTCTCAAATACAAGTTTCCTATCCTTTTAAAGTATTATGCTATCTACTCTTAATGATTAAATCTGTCATCAAAAGTGCTTCAATATTTTTATCTATAAGAAAGAAACTAAAAAACATAATTAGGTTTCGATGGAAAAATTAGATACGATCACAAATAGGATAATTGCTTTCAGAGGCTACCTTGAATTTGGGAGCTCAGGGTATGACGTTTTAACATAAAACTTAATCTATATTTTACTAATTTAGGATTAGTGAATAATTTGAATAAGGAATACATGAAACTGAATAAAACATTTTTTTACTGTTAGATCTGAGGAGAACGTTAAACATCTCAAGAGCAAAGGAGTCAAATATTTTCAAAAATAAAAATTATTTTAACACAAACGATGTTGATAGACAATATGTTAATTCAGACAGAGTTCTTCAGTGAATATGTTTTGTTCCTCAGGAGTGAGCTCTTAAATGACAAAACTTTTACTTTTCTTTGATACTTGATAATTCACAGTATTCTGCAATATAATCAACTTGAGTGAGATAACTTTATTAATTGTCTATATTTGAGGTTTAAATTTTTTCAGTCTGTAGTATATTAATTTATATTGTATGTATGAGTTTGTATTGCATTTTGTATATGTGCAGTATTGAGTTGTTTCCTAGCAACAATATTAACTTATGATATGTTTTAAAGTGTTTAAGTTTTTTGAAGTTTTTTTTATTCTTGGAAAGTTACTAGGATCTTGATATGAAGGGCTTGAAAAATAAAAGTAACAAAAATATGTACTTTCAACTCTCCATACATTCTAGTAGTACTTTTTTCATGCAAATCTAAATTTTTGTTTTCCATTTTCTAGACTAAATGTGTTAAATGGCCTTGCCAACAATATGGATGATTTGAAGATAAACACCGACATTACTGGTGCTAAAGAAGAACTCCTAGATGACAACAATTTTATCTCAGAGAACAAGAGTGGAGTTCATAAACCAAAAGATTGTCAAACATCATTTCAGAAAAACAGTTCACTGACTCTGCCTGAAGAACTGTCAAAGGACAAATCTGAAAAAGCCTTAAGTGGAGGCCAGTCTACTCTGTTTATACATGCTGGTGCTCCTACAATCTCTAGTGAAAACTTTTCCTTACCTAAAGGAGCTACTGCTAATGGACCAGTTTCACACTCCTCCTTAACTAAGACTTCCAATATGAATAAAGGCAGTGTTTCATTAACCACTGGACAGCCTGTGGATCAGCCAACAACAGAATCTTGTTCAACTTTGAAAGTAGCAGCTGATCTTCAGCTGTCTACACCACAAAAAGCAAGTCAACACCAAGTTCTATTTTTGTTGTCAGATGTAGCACATACTAAGAATCCAACCCATTCCATTAAAAAACTACCTACCTCTGCTTCAGTTGGTTGTGACATTGAAAATTCAGTAGGGAATAGTATAAAATCAGATAGCACTTTAATAAATGAAGTAGAGGTGGGTGAGGATAGTGAAGATTTACTAGTAAAAGATGATGGTGTTAATACAGTAACAGGAATTTCCTCAGGTACAGATGAATTTAGGTCGGAAAATGATACAAACTGGGATCCCCAAAAAGAGTTCATTCAGTTTCTTATAACTAACGAAGAAACTGTGGATAAAGCTCCCACTCACTCTAACGTAGGTCTAGAAAAAAAGAGAAAGCGAAAAATGGATGTAAGCAAGATAACTCGTTATACTGAGGATTGTTTTGGTGATTCCAATTGTGTACCAAATAAATCAAAAATACTAGAAGTTGACCATATGGAACAGAACGAAGAGGTACAAACAATAGACTCACAGAAATACACATTATCAAAAGTGAAGCCTGAGTCAACTGATGAAGACTTGGAATCTGTAGATGCTTTTCAACATCTAGTTTATAATCCAGATAAATGTGGAGAAGATAGTTCACCTATTCATACTAGCACTTTTATTTCAAATACCTTAAAAAAGAAATGTGAAGAGAGTGATCCTGAGTCACCTGCTACTTTTAGTACTGAAGAGCCATCATTCTACCCCTGTACAAAGTGCAATGTGAATTTTAGGGAGAAAAAACACCTCCACAGGCATATGATGTATCATTTAGATGGGAATAGTCACTTTCGCCATCTTAATGTCCCAAGGCCATATGCATGTCGAGAATGTGGACGGACATTTAGAGATCGCAATTCACTTCTAAAACATATGATTATTCACCAAGAAAGAAGACAGAAGTTGATGGAGGAAATTCGTGAATTGAAAGAACTTCAGGATGAAGGAAGAAGTGCACGATTACAATGTCCTCAATGTGTGTTTGGTACCAATTGCCCTAAAACATTTGTGCAACATGCTAAAACCCATGAAAAAGATAAAAGGTACTATTGCTGTGAAGAGTGTAATTTCATGGCAGTGACAGAAAATGAATTGGAATGCCATCGGGGCATTGCCCATGGAGCAGTGGTAAAATGTCCTATAGTCAATTCTGATACAGCCCAGAAAAAAACACAAAAAAAGACTTTCATGAAAGACTCTGTTACAGGATCATCCAAAAAATCAGCTACATACACATGTAAGGTGTGTCCTTTTACCACCTCAGCCAGAAGTATTTTAAAAAAGCATATGGAGTATTTGCATTCCTCATCATGTGTTGATTCGTTTGGTAATTCTCTGGGACTTGATAAAAGAAAAAGTGACACCCTTGAAGAACCTATAGATATAGATAGTACTAAACCATTAATTAAACAACAGTCAACCACATTTCCAAAGAACTCTGCTTTAAAGCAAGATGTAAAGCGAACATTTGGATCAAGCTCACAATCAAGTAATATTTCAAAATTCCATAAGCGGCCACATAGAATACAAAAAGCTCGAAAAAGTATTGCCCAGTCAGGTGTAAACATGTGCAGTCAAAACAGCTCTCCTCATAAGACTATTATTAAAAGCAGCACTGACCAAAAACCAAAGTTTTTCCATCAAGCAGGAAAAGAAAAATCTAATGCCAAGGCAAATAGCAACTATTTATATAGACAAAAATATGAAAACTACAGGATCAAAAAATCAGGTGAAGCATATCCTCTGCATTTCAAAAAAGAAGTTAGTTCATTAAATTCTTTACATATGTTTTCATCAAGTAATTCTCATAATAGTTTTATTTCAGACCCTCATAACCAAGACACCAAACTGCCAGAAGGCTTCAAGGACCACAGGCGTGTAGCTGTGAAAAGAGTAGCTAAAGAATCAAAGAAAGTTAGTTCCGTTGGAGGAGAAGACTTGGATAGCTATCCTGATTTTTTGCATAAAATGACTGTTGTGGTTTTGCAAAAACTTAATTCTGCTGAAAAGAAAGATAGTTATGAAACAGAAGATGATAGTTCCTGGGATAATGTTGAACTAAGTGACTACACTACACAGGCTATAGATGATGAAACCTACAATGATCTTAACCAAGAACATGTAAACATATTTCCTCTATTTAAAAGCAAGGTGGAAGGTGAAGACCCTGGAGAAAATGCTACCCTTAGTTATGATCAAAATAATGGCTTTTATTTTGAATATTATGAAGATGGTGGAACTAACAACTTTTTACATGAGATACATGATTCTCAGCATTTAGAAAATGCAGAAACTTCATTGTCAAAGCATAGTTCTGTTTTTCATTGGACTGATTTGTCTCTTGAGAAGAAATCATGCCCTTATTGCCCAGCAACATTTGAAACAGGCGTTGGGTTATCAAATCATGTCCGAGGACATCTTCACAGAGCAGGATTAAGTTATGAAGCCCGTCATGTTGTATCACCAGAACAAATAGCCACAAGTGACAAAATGCAACATTTCAAAAGAACTGGCACAGGGACACCTGTTAAGAGAGTTAGAAAAGGTAAGTGCTCACATAGTTTGAGCGAATGTACCATTGTTCAAATTTAGAGGATTTGAAAGGTTTGTTTGGCTTTAGTCTTTATTAGAATCTAATACTTTCATATTTTAGAATTTATTTTAATTTCTGATTTCTATTAAAAAATTTTTTTTTTTAGCTATAGAGAAATCTGAAACCACTTCTGAACATACTTGTCAACTATGTGGTGGTTGGTTTGATACTAAAATTGGATTATCAAATCATGTTAGAGGCCACCTGAAAAGACTTGGAAAGACCAAATGGGATGCTCACAAATCTCCAATCTGTGTACTGAATGAGATGATGCAAAATGAAGAAAAATATGAAAAAATCTTAAAGGCATTGAACAGTCGTCGTATTATTCCCAGACCATTTGTAGCTCAAAAACTTGTATCAAGTGATGACTTTCTGTCTCAAAATGTTTTACCTCTTGAAGCATACCATAATGGCCTAAAGACTGAAGCTCTGTCAGTGTCTGCATCAGAGGAAGAAGGGCTGAATTTCTTAAATGAGTATGATGAAACAAAACCTGAACTGCCCAGTGGGAAAAAGAATCAGTCTCTTACACTGATAGACCTTCTTAAAAATAAAAGGATGGGAGAAGAAAGGAATTCTGCTCTTTCTCCTCAAAAGATACACAATCAGACAGCAAGAAAGAGATTTGTTCAGAAATGTGTTCTTCCATTAAATGAAGATAGTCCATTGATGTATCAACCACAAAAAATGGACTTGACTATGCACTCAGGTAAGAGGACACTTGTGACTACCTTATGTAATTTTAAAACAGTTCAATTATGTGTTCTTTAGTGGAATATTTGTGGACAATACTTTCTTAGAATCTTCTTATTTAAGCTGCTTTTTTTTGCAGAACAGATTGGTTATTCTGTCATTTCTATATAACTCACGAATTGATGCTCATCAGCACTGAATCTCTGCCTCATTTCATGTTCTGAATGTAAGGTGAGAACAAAAGGAAAAGAAGACATACACAAGTCAACAGCAGCAAATAAAAAGCTAATCTGTAAAAATGAAATTTGCCAGGATTAAAAGATGATTATGGATGGGAGGGAGACTGATGTTGTTCAGAAGCATAGCATTACTGAAGGGGAAGACCTTTGTCATAGTTTTGCCAGTGCTTCAAAGTGATAATATTCTCAAGATTTAGCTGTTGGTTTTTCCAATGCTTAGGTAAAACAAAACGAAGCAGACTCTTTAAAAACTCAATGGATTGGTGTCTGTCATATGTTGTGGTTAACCCAAAGAAGCCTCTTCCTCTCCAATATGTCATTGTAATGTGGAATAGTTTGGTTTTGAAGAATTGTGAGTATATGAAACATATTTGTTTAGGTTTTTGTATTTGCAGTAGTGTTGTAATGAAATAGAGATGATTTAGCTTAGTGATTGTACACCAGTTTTTCCTTCCCAAGGAATATTTTGTATATGTTGGCAAATGACATGGCAAATAAAGTAGCTGAACTTTATGCAGTATTTCTGGGTCTGGTTTATACTTTTAAGACTAGAAGAATTGTAAGCTCTTTACTGGTTTCTTTTGGAGTGTTGAATGTTTATGTAGATGGTTTCATGATTGGAGCCCTAAATGAGTGTGTCTAGGTAATAGTAAGTGGCCAATGGATTAATAAAATTACTGTAAGGAAATGATAATTGTTTATTTCTGGGAGATATTGGGATATTCCATATATTTGTTAATGCAGTTTTGATTTAAGGAAAGATCTTGTATTTTAAGTGGTCTGAAAAATGATTTATCAAGTTGGGCTTCTGGTTAATAGGGCTCTTTCTTCATACAGTGAGAGTCTTTGCAAAGTCAGTAGCTTTCTGTATTTTTCAGAAGGATAAAATATAGGGGAGATGTGTTAGCTGTGTTGACCAAGGTGTAGTAAGTGTACTTACAACGGGAACTTTACACTTGTGGCTTTCATAGCAATGTTGAGGAAACCAGTTGAACCATGTTGGGGGAGTGAGGGTTGTCTGAGAAGTTAGGAGTTTCTTATTGTTTCAACATGTTTTTCCTGTGATGAGTAAGATGTTAGCTTGTTGATCATTTATTTAGCACAAAGATTTTAGCAAAAAACTTCAAATCATTAACTTTCATTATTGATTGCGCATTCAAAGTAATGAACATAAAATGCCCTGAATAAAATGTTGTGTCTAACAGCTGTTCAGTGGTATGTTTTACCACCTTTTCTCCCAGCCTTCATCAAAAAGCCTAATTTAGTATCAAGCCTTTTACGGTTTTGTGGGTAAAACACTTTAATTACCACTTTGTCAACTAGAATTCTTAATTCTTTATATTGGTAATGTTGTAAGCTTTGAAACTCTTAGAACTGTGCTATTCAAATCACAGGGTTGTATTTTATAGTAGGTTTAAGAAATGATCTGCGTAACACAGAAATCTGCAAGAAAGTGATAATAGGTGTTAAATCCAGAGGAGCTTAGAGGTTCATGTCACTTCTCTTCCACTTTTCTAAAGAGCATGGGTTGGCTCTAAATACTAACTAAACTACTAATAATTAACTCTCCCTTCAT